GTAGCCGTCAGCGTCCTATTTTGCCTGAGCAAAGCAGAGTCAGTGATTGGATCATTGGAATCTATAGAGTAACACAAACTAAAAAAAATCACATATTCAGGAATATCACATCAAGTGAAATCTTCACACACCATGTCATGATATCAGGCTGCATGTCATGGGTTCCTACATATCACGTTGCCTTGCTTCTTGAAATTTCATGATGACGATCATGACATCATGCATGTCGGGGGGGGGATGGGGGGGGGGGAGGGGCGTCGGTCCCCAGTCTGCTCAAAAGAAGGCAACGCCAGGCTTTCGTGAATTGAATGTATGGAGGCAGTGCCGCGGCGTTCGGCAAGGGGCGGGCATGCTTCAGTGGCGAAAACTATCCGTTTCGCGCACATTTTGAGCAAAGCATATGCAATACAAAATGATTTGTGTGAAGTGGACGCTGGAAACCACAGACAGATAAGGATTGGATACCGGAAATTAGTGTGACTTGAGCACGGAAATTATTAGTGTGACTGAGCCGTGGCGAAATGCTGTTCTCGACGCATAGTCATGGGCAACCCGTTCGGGATGTTTCAGGCTATTTGTCTCAACAACATCGGGGATTTTCAATAAGCAAATCATTGAATGCTTTCCAGTGGGAAGTTTGGAGCAGACATCCACCTTACTGCCTTGAGCTGTAACTTTGATTGATAAATTAGTAAAATTAACAATGTTTTATAGCTACGTGGTATCATTTTAGTTCTACACGGCATTGACTGCAAAGCAATACTACGCGTAGAAAGGAACATTTCGTGTACATTATAGTCTTTCAGGGCATATCGGCCGAAAGCTCAATACCAAGCAGTCTTTGTTGCATCGCTTTGCCTGGAAGAGTCGCATGTAGAAAATTTTGGATATTAAAACCAAATTTATTGTAGATGCTCTATATGTACTTTAAGCATACTCTGTTCAGAGATTCAAGACCTCAACCGTTCGTTGCGTGCCATTTCACCAGCTGTATGATGTGTCGAGCTAATGAAAGTTAAAGTGGTGAATTTGCGCAGAGTTTAAGAGTTAGTGGCTCGCTATATCCACCTGTCTTAATGGCTGCACCAGCGGCAGACAAAGAGCACTGCTGCTGCTGTACATTGGGTTCGCATTGGATAAAACATAGCCGTTGCCTTTCTCACAAGACACACAGAAGCGAAAGCCGGCTCTCGCCTCTGTGTTGCGGGCGTTGCGGACCATCCAAGAGTTGTACATGCAACATTCCTTGCCCTGTGAAAATGAAATACGAGTTGAACAGTACCAACAAAGAGACATCTGCTTGCTTTATTGTCTACAGGATCCCGTCAAGGGAGTGGATGCAGAGCCGGGTGCGTCGTATTTCGGCCTCGTGTCTGCTTGTCCAAAAATGTGTGAATGCCCGCTGTCTCGCCGCCCACATATGCGCCATATGCCCACATATGTGCATGCGAAAACGATGGCGTTCATCAATCGAACAACACCAAAAATACAGAACATACGCTAGGAAAAAAGGGCCAAACAACACGTGTCCAAACGTGTACAAAATTTACGGGTTTGGGTTATTCTGTTTTCTTAGCGTGCAGAACTTTGATGAAACGTGTTTTATGTCTGTTTTCAAGGTTGTTATTTGGCCCTTTTCTTGCTAGTGATACGCTTTATACACAAACATATGACGCACACATCTACTGCTGCGTGCTTTTCCTGAATCAGTGTACGGGAACGTGTGTGGAAATATCAAATGTGCGTTAATAGCAAAAAGAGTGCTTAAGCGGGACCGAAGTGTTGGGTGTTAGCATGTTTTGGTTGATATGCTTCACCAGCGCAACACCACAAGAGACTCCATATGTAACCCCACAGGTGGCGAAGGGCGCCTGCCATTGGGTTATTGTTTAGCTCTTCTTTAGCAACAGCCAGGGAGCTCGCGCGATTGCTTGAATTCAATTGCGCGATTACAATTCAAACTGTTTGAATTCCCAGTTTGCTCTGCACCTTGTGTGCCAGACGTGGGAACTGCTGGCAGGCCAACTGTGGGCAGCCCTCCCAAAGTGTTCATCAGAAACAATTATGAGAATGGTTCAAATTGCGCAGAACACCTTTTCGGGATGGACTGGTACATGCAGGAATTGTAAAGTACTGAATCAAACACAATTCCTTCGCAAAATAGGGCTACATCTGAAAGTGTACATTTTCGCCTTGGGTTGACAAGGATTATGCTGCCAATACTCTATCCGCAGCAGTCAGCAACTTAGCTACCATTGAAAATTAATAATACACGTTCATCACTGCTTCAGCACAGACAGAAACCGGTTGAATGGTAAACTCCTGTGGGTGTGCCCACAGTGGGGTGTGCCCTCTGTATGGCAGACATCCTTTTCTTGCCACAGGGTTTTCTGCTCTTCCCGCTGAACGATTGACCGTGTGCACAATTCTAATTCGAGTTTTAATCAAGTCGAATTGACAAAAGAAAGTGTCTCAACAATGTGCACCACCACAAAATGAATCTAAAACTGCTTTGTCTTACAAGAATCGCATTATGGACTGGGTTGCATGTGCACCAGTCCGAGTGGAGTCCACCCGAACTTCAAGGTCAGCAACGTGGCAAAGACGGAGCCATCGCCCTCAGCCAGATCGTCTGATGGAGCATCTGCCACTCATCCTGATGGCCCTTGAACATTCTTTTGGGCAACATGAGCAGTATATTTAGCATTGCAACAGGTAGGCAACTTCAAGTAACTACACGAAATAGGTTAGCATTCACCACGGATTAAACTACTGAATTGGGCATTTTGGCCTAGCTTACACTTTGGCAGAGAGGGTGCTGTCTGGTTAAACTCCTCTGAGCGTCGAGTCAGATCATCTGCACTGACGTGTCACCATTCAGAATCGCACAAGAAACGTCAGGCGAAGACTGCCCGGATCCATGGGGCTTCCATCCAAGACCACGCCCTGGTGGGCGTTACCTGGGCAATCGGGATCCACCCACTGGTGACATGTCGACAATAGCCTAGGCACCACGGAATCACCTGTGAGAATGGCTGTGACATCCTGGCACAGAAACAAGGACCGTGTCAACGCAATTCGCCACATGCGCTACATTACTGTGAATTGTGGGCTCTGTAGAGAGTAGTCTGCGCTCCAGAACCGATGGATGTTGTTGCAATGTGCTTGGTACATGCTCAGCGCTCAGACAGGCAAGAATTTACGTTGCTGCATTGGTGGGCAGATCCAGGTAGGTACACAGGGTCTGAAGCGCTTGCTGGATGCCGCAACGTCCATCGTTGTTGTCAAGGTGCACAGACTTGGATTTCCGTGTTCTCTGCAACTTAGGGAAAAATGGGCCAGTTCACAAAGCCCGTGCCCACACTTAAGCTGCGCTGATTTCCTGAACATCACTCTGTACTGCACATCTTGCATTGGTGCAAACCGTGCTTGATGCACAAAAAGCATCATGCTGCATAGCTGCAAGACTGCATGACTAAATCAACAGGTACATGTGCAACCATACCTGTGTGTTATGGGCGTCATTTTACCTGCTTTCTGTCACATTGCCCACTGCAATGGATGACTCATAAACGGGAAAATGACAAAACGGGTCCACTGTGAGATATCCTGAACAAAAGGGATCCTCTGTGACAACAGGGGGGCCTTCTGCGGGGGTGCAAATGACGAAAGGGGGTCCTCTGACACCCCCCTGTACATTAGACGCGTTGGCCGACCAGCGCCAGTCTGCAACCCGGTCCTACAAGGGCGACCACGCAGAGGACTCCCTTTTGTCATTTGCTTCCTCGCAAAGGACCCCATTTTGTCAATTTCCCTCTTGGGGTTGCTGGTGGGGGTGGGGGTGGGGGGTGGGGGGGCCTTCGTGATGCCACTTAGACGACCACCCCTGCCCTTGGTGTATCATTTAGATGCAATTGGTCTCCGCCAAATACATGAATCATTGTGAGCAATGACCTGATTGTGTTTGCGGCTTCAAAAGCCATTAAAGAATGACATTTGGTGCGAAATCTGAAGGGATGGCTTGTAAGCCTAAACACTTTATTCTTTCCAAATCGCGAGCTTCCTTAGACGTTTAGTTCATTCTGGGCATACTAAAAACATGCATGCTCACCTACATGACACAAAGGGGTGAGCGTCGCATTAGTTTCTGAGCATATGTTCAAAAACTAGTGTTGACTTGCATTGAATCTGTATTCATGGAGCAAATGGCTGCATGTTTTGAGATCACAAGACTGTATTTTGTGTTTTTGGTGAGTTTCATGCCATAAGTGATGATTGAGATGCAATGATTGCTCAGTGCATGGGTAAGGAGGTTGTGGAATTGTTTGAGAACGATCGTGATTTGTGATGGATGGGCTGTGTTCGATGTTCAAGGTCGTTGGTGACAGTCGTAATGCAATGAGTGCACGCAACGTATTTTTTTGGCAAGATCAGACTTGCATGGACTTACGAATCCGAAAATGGCAGTCGGGCCATTTTTTGGATTTTGTTTTTTCCAACTCAGTTGTGCAGAACGTCGGTATGGCATTGTTTCTGCGTTCAGGGTTCAATTTTTCCAACTAGATGTTGCCAATGACTTCACCTTACAAAAGAGTTCTTACAAAATCAAAGCACAAGTGGTGTCGTGCATCTGCTAATGCTTGTGCGTTGTAGACTTCAGCCTTCAGAAAGCCCACAGACAAACATAACCCCCGCGACACCCCTAAGAGGAAAATTGACAAGAGCGGTCCCTCTACTGGCGTCCAAATGACAAAAGGGGGTTGCAGACCAGCGCCGGACTGCAGCCAGCCTGCCAACGTGTCTAATGTAAAGGGGGCCAGTCAGAGGGCCCCCTTTTGTCATTTGCACCCCGGCAGAGTACCCCCTTTTGGTCACAGAGACCCCCTTTTGTCATTTCCCCAGTCGTAAAAGCTCAGAAACACATCTGTATGGATTGTGCTCTTGGGTTGACCCTTCATGACGACTTCTGTATCCTGTATGTCATGTTTCTCCAAAGGCGATCAATCCACTTCCACACCTCGATTTGTGGCTTCCAGCTGCCCCTCTCTGGACCTCACCTCCACGACCATGTCAAGCAGGCAGTGCCCCACAGCCTCCACTGATGCATCGTCCAAACCTATCTCCCGCAGCCACCGCAAAGACCTTCCCCCACTTGACTCCTCTGCCCACTCAAGGGCTAGGTGCAGTGCCCCGCCAGCGACCTGGCACAGCTCTACTGTTCAGTTCATTGGTTTCCGTCCATCAGTTTTGTGTCCACTTTCTATCTGTTCACCGATTCTCTGTGCGCCACACTGTTCTCCGATTGCTACCATGCACCTTAAAGCCGATGCCAAATTCTCCTAAAGCACAAGTGCTAATCATAGCACAGTATGAATTCCGATCTTCTGTGTCCAATGCAGCAGAGGTCCATTCCACTTTGCTGCTCACACCAAGCCCCCACTTCCCATCCATGTTTCCTTCGGTCTTCATCTTAACTTTTGCATTTGTGTTCTTTCATACCTCCATTCCGAGCTGGGAAATACCGAATCTTACGTAGCTACATATACCCTCAAATGCATGAATCTTGAAAACGTCCAAATGGATAAGGTGGCAGTCCCCATGCACAGGGATACTGTTGCAGTGGGTGCTTTTTCCCTTGGTAAGCAATGTAACACGTAACAAATACCAATTCTTCAGCACATTCTGCACAAGACTAAATATCACAGAAGACAACAACAAATCAAGCCCAACCCATTTAATGCCCATGACAAGACACAACAACATACAATGAACATGAATAAGCAAGTTGTGTTTGTGTCCAAGTTGTGTTTCCGTCTTTCAATGCATATTGGGCACATATCTGAACCGTCTCCAGATGTGTGTGCCATTTTAAGACGGAATCCGGAAAGGATCTGCTGATCGGTTTGCACCGCTTTTCGCTGCCAACGGCTTTTTAACTACAACAACGGTGAAAAATGTCTAGAACACATCCGTGCTCAGGAAGGGGTCTCCATTTCACAGAGAACAACGACCATTATACACGATTGTTGATGCGTTTGAATAGTGTCCACTGCCGAAATTCTTTTTCAGTGGTTGAACCTGTGCCTGACCCAAGAAAATCGTTTCAACAAGCATCTTGAATTTGTCAACGGAATGTGACAAGACAGGCCGTTGCACCTCAACAAGCGATGAAGGACAGGGGCCATCATCCAAATAATCAATGTTGGATACAACCCACAAAACAGGCCATTCAACGTCAAGTCTCTGTTTGGTGCTGCTTATCAGCAAAGTGCCGATTAACCAGCTGTCCACCTTTAGAAACATTCTTCGGCCAAACACAATATACTCAAAGGAATTTCAAGCTTTGCTATCGACAGAAACCCGCCATGCATTTGATACATCGTTGGCAGAATGTCTCACATTCTGGATACCAAATAGCATATGGGGGTGCCATACCCTCAGCCATAATCCAGATATCCAATAGAAAATGGGCACCATATCCTGGATATGGATGCTACATACCCTAGATATGGCGTTCATACCCTAGATATGGCGTTCCCATATCCTGGAGATGGTGGCAGGAGACGGCTGTATCCTGGATATGTGCATTCCGAACATGCACTGTCCTGTGGACGATTGTTGGCAATTACATGCCTTTTGTTGGGGCCGGGAGTTGTAATGGCGACACATTGCCTGCATTTCTAGGTGCCGCATTGTCAAACGATAACATGACAATTCACAGCTCCTGCACCCGTTATGCAATGTGTGACATGGGTCGCGGAAATATTAAAGTGTTCAGGACGAGCCACAGTCCAACAGGCTGCTCCAAATGTTTGCTGGTATCGTGGAAACAAATGCAAAGAAGAGAGAGAGGCGCTCAGAGAGCTCTGGGAAAAAGGAAGAAACAACCAGAGATGGGCATCCATTCGTCACGATGATGAAAACGCTAGAGTGAACCCTATGCCAGCACCTGCTCCCAACAGCACCTCGCACACAGCCATTTCCGTTTGACAGCGCCACTCCCCATCCCCTAGTTGATGGCAAGGTGGTGCTTCACCTCTTTGCAGGAAAAGCAACCATCAGGTCACGTGCAAAGTGGAGCGCTTCGAGGGACAATAGACAAGCAACGAATTGACCTGAACAGCTAAGATGCTGAGGGAAGAACAACTTTGCAGCTACTCTTGCCAACTGCCCAGTATTCCAACAAAACAGGGCAGGGCCATGCCTAAGCAGCACTCTGTGTGGTACCTGTTCAGGTGTCAGCCGCGCAACCAGGTCAGTATACACCATGCAGTCGTTGAGAAGTGCAACGCCCAGTGCCGCCACTCTGTCAGAAGCACCCATCGCTGCGCAGAAGCTGAGCAGGAATTTGTGCGGGTGGCTGCCCACCACCTGCTCGTCAGCAGTGCTCTTATTAGCATGAGTTCCTCATACTCTTTTACTGTTGCCAAGCAATGTGAATCCCTTGTGGACTGCCAGGAAAACTTATGCTGGCAGGTGATCTGAACTCAGGCAACATGTGCTGTTAGGAGAGTGCCATTTGCTACGCTGTTGCAATGGATACATTCGCTCATTACATTTGTCTAACCATGGCAAGCAGAGTGCATTTCTCAGTCTAAAGAAATTGGGCGATGGGCGCGTTGCACGACTGCAGCGTCTCTTTGATCTTTTTGATTGCAATGCCAAAGGTGCCAAAGGACCATCCTTGCAGCCAAAAGCAGATTTCAGGCTGATTTGAACAAACTCCAACAAACAGACTTTCAGAAGACAGGGCAAGCCACAGTCAAGAATGTGTAGCAAAGAGCTACACAGTGCCGAAACACAAACAAGGTGCATCAATCATAGCCTGCAAGGCAAAAAGGCTTGGTCTTATCCTGGGAAGCTGGAGCCTGTGGACTTCCCCTGCAAAATGCTGTCACAACACATTCCTTGTCCATTCCGTCAGTGCAGACACATCCAATGCACTAGGCAACTGGGCGGCCAAAGATGTTATCATAACACCAATCCCAAGCATGTGCACAATTCCACAAGACCTGGCAACTTTCCCCTGCTCAATGCCCTTCTTTCAGCTTCTCCCTTTCGCCAAAGCAGGTGTGCACTCATGCACACAATCTTATCTATGCTCTCCAAAAAAGGTATAGCACCCTTTTTCTGTGTTTTCGCACAAGCAATCGAGGAACAGTCTCGAGACTAAAGTCGTCCAATAGGCAAACTGGGCAGTGCTTACCACATGTCAACACATGCAGACGACGAGGAATTACGAACAGTACCTGGAAATGCATGTGGCGCAGGATGAGTTGCTCAGCATGCAGCAGGCACAACTTGGCATCGTAGTACCGGCGGCCCACCAACCAGGGACAGGGCTCAGCAGGCAGCGCAGGGAGCCAGGGCATCGCAGCCCTCACAGTGGGGTGGCGTCCTGAAGCGCCTTTGAGGTAAGCAAGAGCATTCAGGAGATCTGTGGTTCGGAGGGGAGCCTGCAGCCACAGGAGGTTGGGGGTGGCACAGAACTCATCGAACTGGATCTGACCAGCTGCAAAAACAGCAAATCTAAAGCACCAAAGCAGATAACAGGTCTGTGGTGCAGAAGGTGTCCTGCAGCACACACTGGGGTTGGTTAAATCACCAAATCAAATGCTGCTGGGGCATGTCAACAACAAATTGTACGGTCAAGAATAGGTTAAAACTTGCAGAAAATATCTTGACACAGATGTGGGTGGTGTCAGACCAATCCAAATAACTTCAAGCCAGCTGTGGAGATAAGATAGGTAGGTCTGCACTGCAGAGGAGGGCATGGGGCCACAGGGGCAGATGTGGTGCTGAACTCACACCAAGCACACATCCCACCAGCTGCAAAGAGCCAGCAGCAGAAGCCATCAAACTGCAAACCACCTAAACTACGTTCCCAACGTATGAATTCAAAACCAACATCCAGAATGACAGTGGAACTTAGCCTTTGTTTGTAGTGGCTGGGACTGGATGTCCTGCCCTGGCCATGGACGTAACCCAGCAGAGAGCAAATGGGGGATTGGCAACCCATGCCAAGATACCCTTGCCTTTGATGCTATTGAAAAGATCTCAAGCAGCTCTAGGTGGAATACATCTTGTTTAACTTGCCCTTCTCCATCCCTATCCAGATTAATCCCTACGGCACCTGCCCCAACCCACCCACCTGCCCCACTCCACAACCTCACCCCTACACCTTACCTCTCCATCAAACCCTCCTAACACCACCATTCACCTTGAAACCAGTGGAGTGCCTACAATGGCAAGCATTGTGCCTAAAGCGATGCACTTCCCTTCTTCTACATCCAGCAGAAGCTCACCACCTTTTCCCAGTATGGGGAAACATGGCACAAAGTGTCCCTCCATTTGTTTGCAAGCAATCTCCAGGCGAGTTTAGTTTTCTTTTGTCAAGCCAGTGTCTTGTGTCTTTGCTCACCACCTAACCACTAACTTCTTATCTTGACTTACACCAACACATCCTTGTGGGTTCCAAGGAAGAACATTGTTGGGGTTTGTGCAACCTTTGATTAAAATTGTTTAAAGTGACAGCAAAATGCCCTTCGGGATAAGTTTGCAAACAGAATGCTCAAAAGACGATTGTCAACGTCCAAGTTCAATCCATTGCAAAACACTGGGAACCCTAAGGTTGAGGCATGCAAATAATGGCGGGTACCCCAACATTTGAATGCCACTAGTGCGCTCGATGCAGAATTGAAGTGGCAAACTTGGCAGAAAATGAAATTTTGGGGGGTGCTATGAGGCAAGACAAGATGCCCAGCACATCCCCAATGCTTGGCAAATCTATAGATTACATTTGTCCAAAAGACGTGACCAACAAAGCCCTTGTGGCTTGCATACGATGACAGGGGCTGAAGCATCCACCCAATTTTGGTCCTTCCACATAATCGTTCTAACACATAGCCAATTTCAGCGGCTCTGTTGATCCAAAGGGTTTCTTGCAAATGCAGTACAACACACACAGTGTGACATTCTTTGTGCTGTGCAACTGGGCAGTACATGCTTTTTGAGGGGATGAGCTGCAAATTTTTGGACCAACCAGGAGATTAGTCAGCGTAGGATAGTGGCACAATACCCTCCCATGTTTATACTCCAAGTACGCAGATAAGCAGCAACTGGCAAAACACGATTGGCACGTTCTTCTAGGGAAGGGGGGAGGGCCCACTAAACTCTTGAACATGAAGCATGATGCAACGTTTTGGAATCTTCAGCTGGAAATTGGCAGACACCTGTTTGCAACAGTTTCACGCACCTCTTCCACCTTGGCAGCGCAGAAGAGGCAGGCCGCCGGGACGAGCTGAAGGCCGCGCGAGAGCGCCGGCACAATCCAAACAACGCAGGCCAACCGTGTCAGCTCCGACCCTCCTGCCAAACGCGGGAAAGGCGGGGGAGCGCCCAACGCTGGGCAACTGCACGAGCTCGAACAGCAGAAAGTCTCCCAAAAGAAGACCTCCCAACAAACGATTGCCGCACTCGCGGCAAAAAATTCGCTGCCGGATCACCCTCCAGCCTCCAAGACAGCCCCGATCCCCTGAGGGCAGCCCCCTAGACGTCTGCGCCATCCCCCGCGGTGCGGAAAACGACCGCCGCTCAGGTGGAGAAAGGGGCTGCTGCTCCGCCTGAGCAACCCTTGCTCAGGAGGGAGGTGCCCATCAAGGGACCGGTTTCCCACTTCCGTCGACAACCAGCCTCGGGTCCATCGTTCCGCACTTGCGTGCATAAACGCCTGTCAAAGCCTACAATCCGCAAGGGCACCGCCTTGTCTCGCCGAAGGCAATTCTCAACGCAGGATAACAGCCTGTCAGGCGCGACTTAACAACGAAGGATTTCAGCCTTTCTGGCGCGATCGGGGCTTACGTCCTCACGGGAGGCGGCCTGCGGCGCGGCGGCGTAGAACTTGTGGGCGAAGGTCAGGGCCGTGGAAGTGCATTCCAGGGGAAGGTTCAGCACTTGGGCGGCCGCCCTCATGAGCAGGCACTCCTGGAAGTAAGGCACCACCATGGCTGCTTGGGAGCCCGCTGTTTGCACGGTGGGGCGGGCCCTGACGACTCGGAGTGACACTTGCTGGTTCTTCTACGCGGAATTAATTGTCCTCCATTCGAAACGAGACGGTTCGCTTCGAAAACGGCCTCGAGGCTTCAAGCTGAGCTGACAACAAGAAGTCAAAATCAGGCCAAAGTCAAGCCCCGGCTACAGTTGTATATTTAGGGAAGACGCTATGTCGATTTTGGTACGCTCAATGTCAATTGGCGTCATGCTCAGCCCCGCCCCCGCTTCCATCTTAACGTCAATTTTTTTGTCGAACAACCTTACATGACAGTGCTAGACAATTTCGAGGTGTTTCTAAGAAGGCAAAATGAGAAAAGGGCGTCCTCTCCAAGATATCTTGACAAAAGGGGGTCCTCTGACCTGCCCGGGGCAGGTCCCCCTACAGGGGCAGGCTGCCCCTGTACATTACACGCATTGCCAGATAGGGCCAAACCGGCTCCAGACCGGACCACGGTCCTACTAGGGGCGATCCCTCTGGGAGGGCGCCATGGCGATCGGGGTGTGAAGGGGAGTCGTGGCGATCGGAACTGCAAGGGAGCCCAAGCAGCGATCTGAGCTACCGGAGAGAGCACACAACGACTGGAGCTGCGGGAGGGAGTCGTAGCTATCAGATCGGTGGGGGGAGACCAAGCAGCCATCGGGGTCGCAGGGAGAGCAAGAGGCGATCCAATCACAATCGTAGATGCTGCTAACAACTTTGAACTTCTGGTGTGATTATTGTAGTCTGGATATTCTATTTGTCTGTGGGTTTTCTGAAGGCTGATGTTGTGGAAACACATGGGGGTCGAGAGGATTATGGCCATTAGTCATGACTAGTTAGTCATATGTGGGATTCGACCCATTATCTGAATTCTTTGTGATCTCTAGATACTCGTAGGCTCTTTCTTTATCATTATCCCTCAGGTATGGAGTAGTTTGTGGCCTAGGGAAGTCCCTGTACTTAAGGGACAGGCTGTGGGGGTAGATTGGGCTACGGTGTATCGATAGTGGGTCCGATACGGGGGTATGCTGGGCGATACAGTCGTGACGCACTGATGTACATTGTGTGGTGTCTGTGTGATGGGTGGTCAGGCCGGAATGTGGCCGACCACCAGTACGTACGCGGGGGTGCGTTGCTCCCCACTCTGTTACCCCGTTTGGCTCACTGCCGCGCTCCGCACGGGCCTCGCGGCCCAGGGAGCCAGCTGCCTTGCTACCCGCCGTCTTCGAACGGCAGGACCGCCCGATCCCAAAGTGCAAGAGGGCCCACCGCTGTTGCGCGGCAGCGCGCAACAGGGGGTGAGAGAAGCCTGCCAGTACGGGCGCTCGAAGGCCATTAAGCCGGGACCCAGCACCGGACCCCAAGTACTACGTACTTGGGGCCACACCCGAGCGCCGGTCCCTGGGGGTACCCCAGGTACCGGTGGCCACCGCCCTAGTGCCGGTCTGTGCACTCTAACCCCTACACTATTGTAACCGTAGCCCTCTTGGGCCGGTTACTGTAGGGGGATTGTCGGTAACCCCGGGTACCGGTTAGTGCGGTACATTACTCCCCCCCCCCCTAGTCGCGACCCGCGACGATTGGTTGTCCGAGGAAGACAGGACTGGGCAATCTGATGCGAGAAGCGGGAGGTACAGTGAACGGGGGGGGGAGGTGGCGCCAGAAGCCCGCCGAAGGGACGGGGGGCGAAGAGAGTGCGGGGGCGACGAACAGCCGAGATAGCGCGGGAAGGAGCCGCGAAGGAAACAGCATGGTGCGCAAAAGGGAAATGACATTTTGCACCAGTGATGTGCCGAACCCAAAGGAGGTGGGTAAGAAGGATGCGTCGGACAAGGCTGGGTGTAGTGGCCTGGGAGCTCATGGTATAGCGGGACTCCGAATAGAGGCAACCACGGGCAACCCAGAAGAAGGCGTAGGTGGTTCCCGGGAAGGCCCGAGACAGGCGAGGCACACACACATAGGGGAGTACAGTCGAAATTGCACCCCCCCAAGATGGGCAAGAGGCGTAACAAGGAGTGAGGAACAAGGGAGGGGGTGGCATGTCCAGCACATCCCCCCTCCGAGAATCCGTGGAGAACCCTGCAACACCGGCCTCTAAACCCGTACCAAGCAAGAAGAGACAATGCGGGCACCCTATAGGGGTCGCAATAGTCCCCAATGCGTGCCGCAACCCCTGAATGGCCAGGAGGGGAAGGGCAAGAGAAAAAGAAAGGGGGGAAAGGTCCCCCAGGTACTCCCCGAAGGCAGGGGGGGGATCAAGGATCCCGCTGCTCCAGCCAAATCAGGCGAGTGATCCATCGAGCGTCCCGTGAGTACCCCCGCCTGGTGAACAGCGGGGAAGGGGGGAGCAGGCTCATCCAGCCGGAGACGAGGGTTGCAAAATAAGACACAAAACGGGGGGGCTCAAGAGGAGCATGGGGACCAGCCAAGGGCTAGCGCGAAGATGGCGGAGGGCGCCGAAGCGGCGGCTGAAAGGCCTCCTTGGGCGGACGAATCAGCGAAGGGTCCTGCTGAGCCTGGAGTGCGAAGCGCTGTAACGCCTCCTCACAGTGGGTGAGGTTGCGGAGAGGTTCCCAGGAATTGTGACCCATATCATAGCCCTTCCATTTAACCAAGTAGTAGGGCTGACTGGTGCGACCACGGCGGACGATGGTCTTCTGGAGGAGGGCCTCGACCTCATACTCAAGCTCCTCATCCAAAAGCACCGGGGGAGGAGGAGGAGGCAACACCGAATGGCCTTGGATGTACCGGCGCAGCAAGGAAACATGAAAAACTGGGTGCAACCGGCGCAGGGCGACAGGCAGGTCCAGCCGGAAAGCGACGGGATTGATGCGCGTCTGAATCCGGAATGGGCCCAGCCACTTGGGCAAGAGCTTCCTGGTACCGGGATGTTTCAAGTGGAGGTTCTGGGTGGACAAAAGCACTAGATCCCCCACTTGAAACGACTCTGCCTTCCGTCGAAGATCGGCCCAGTGTTTCATGCGCTGTTGGGCATTCTGTAAACACTGCTTGGCGCGGCGTAACGCGGATTCCCGATCTTGGAGGAAGGCAGGGACCCCAGGAATTTGGGGCAAGTTGGCTTGAGCCCAAGCCTTGGCGGGCCGACGCTGGAGGCCGCGTCCATTGCTGCGAAGGGGCAGCGAGGTGCGCTGTTTGAGATGCAGCGACTGAGAGAAAGGGGTCTGAGGGTGACGCCCATAGTTGAGAAAGAATGGGGAGTAACCGGTACTCTCTTGTTTCGCATTGTTGATGGCGAACTCAGCGCAAGAGAGGAGGCGATCCCAGTCAGTATGGGCAGCCCCAATATGCCGCCGGAGCATGTCTTCCAAAGTGCGATTCGTGCGCTCCGTCTGGCCATCAGTCTGGGGGTGATAGGCAGAGGAGAGGTGGGGCTGCACACCAAGGCGAGCCAATAAGGCCTGCCAGAAGGCCGAAGTGAACTGGGGGCCGCGATCCGAGATGATAGACTCGGGAACCCCATGGTAACGATGCACACGCTCCATAAAAATGTCGGCCAGGCCAGCGGCGTCAATCGCGCTGTGGGTGGGCTCGACGTGGACCATTTTGGTCAATCGATCCACAAAAACGACGATGGCGTCGTAGTGAGGGAAAGAAGTGGTCCGAGGGAGCTGAACGATTAAGTCCATGGAGACACTGGCCCACTCGTGATCCGGAATGGGGAGAGGTTGTAATTCCCCCGTGGAGGGGCCGGCCCGAGGCTTGGAGACCTGGCATGTATGACACTGTGCCACGAAGGCCGCAATGTCTCGACGGCTGTGGGGCCAGTAATAATAACGGTGAATAAAGTCGACCGTCTTCGTCTCCCCGAAATGACCGGCATAGGAGGGACAGTGACCCGCCTCCATGATGCGTAAGTGCATTGAGGGAGGGACGAAGACCTGATCACCGTGGTACCAAAGGCCGCCATGACGGACCAACCGATAGCGAGCGGCATCACGCTGGAGATCAGCGTAGGACATGCAGGCGTCCGCCAAGTCCTGAGCGAGACCGGTAAGACCCTGGCCGGTGCGGGAGGGACGAGACAACGCCGCAATGAAGGCAACCGGACGAGAGGGAGCCGAAGTGTCGGCCACGGGCGAAGTGGGCCCGGCAGAATGGTCGTCGGTCGGGTCAAGAGCGGGGTGCCGACTCAGGGGGTCGGCGTAGTTGATGCGGCCAGGGCGATATTCCCAGGCAAAGTCGAACTGCTGAAGGAATTCCGACCAGCGCGCCTGGCGGGAACTGAGGTGAACCTGGGATTTGAGGTATGTCAAGGGACAATGGTCCGTGACGACTCGAAAGGAGGCGCCTTCCAGAAAGCAACGCCACACGCGAAGGGCATGGACGACCGCCAGGAGCTCGCGCTTGGTGGCGGAGTAATTAACCTCCGCCTTCCCGAGCTTGCGGGATTCAAACGCAATGGGTTGCCCATCTTGAAGGAGGGCAGCGCCAAGCGCATAGCCCGAAGCGTCCGCGACACCCTCGAAAGGTTGAGAGAAGACGGGCATGCGGAGAAGGGGGGCCGAGGTCAGGGCCTCCTTGACCCAGTCAAAAGCCGTCTGTTCGGGCTCACCCCAATGGAAAGTGTGCTTCTCCCGGGTGAGCGCGACCAAGGGACCCACCATGTGGGAAAAACCGCGAAGGAATTTGCGGAAATAATTGGCAAGCCCAAGGAAATGCCGGACCTGGCGGGGGGTCCGAGGGCGAGGCCAGTCACGTACGGCGGCGACCTTGGCGGGATTCACCCGGATGCCATCAGCCGAGACAATGTGCCCCAGGTATTGAATGGAGGCGGCGTTGAAACGACACTTCTCCAAGCGGCCAATGAGCTGGTGCTCGCGTAACTTCTCCAAGACTTGGGTGAGGTGGACCTCATGCTCCTGAGCGGAGCGGGAGAAGATGAGAATATCGTCCAGGTAAACCAAGACGAACTGCCCCAAATAGGGGCCGAAGATGCGGTTCATCATTGATT